TGAGAAAATCCCCGGGTCATGAAAGTGGAATTGCCATTGGATTCCACAGTTTTGATCATGTGGAAATAGATGACAGAATTGAAGATCCAGAAGGAGAGCAGAGAGGGGTGGATGCAAGCAGAGGATCGGCTTTTCAGCCAAACACACTGGGCAGGGGTGCAGCTGATGGTGAGGGCCTGGAAGGTGCTCAGGAAGGTCGTAGTGCAGGCGGACAGTCCCCACCTGACCCTGAACAAGAACAGCATAGCCTTACACATGGCATCATCCCAGAAACACAGGACTCCATACTAGGAGACGATGAAGGACATGGACTCAAAAATGATGGTTAAGGCATTGACAACGATCAGGTGCATGAAAACTATGGCAATGGGCTTCCGGAGCCGAGGTTTGCACATGGAGCTGTGGGTGTACAACAGGAAGAGGACACAATTCCTCAGGATGCCCAGACACACCTTAGACACAAAGAGGAGCCTGAACACAGTTTCTCCTGCCGTGGGTGTCATGACATGTGTGTTTGTGTGTGTGTGTGAGAGAGACAGAGAGAGTGTGAGAGAGAGACAGAGAGAATGATAGAGAGAGCGAAACAGAAACAGAGAGAGAGAGAGACAGTTTGTATGTGTGTGTTGCTGAGAATCAAAGCAAGAGTGCTGCCCATCCAGGAAGGTGAGAAAGCTCTAGACAACAGTGTGAGTCCTGCAGGCAGTAATCTTCATGATGCTCTATTTCTTTATCATGTCAGCCAGCCTTAGAATGAATGCCAAAAGTTAGAGTGTTAAACAATGATTTAAAAATAGATTCTTTTTTGGGGGTTTTCATACCGCTTATGAAATTGTAACTCAGGGCCTAGGTACTGTTCCTGAGCTGTTTTACTCAAAGCTGGTGCTATCCCAGTTGAACCACAGCTCCATTTCTGGCTTGTTCGTGGATCACTGGAGATCAGAGCCTCAAGGACTTCCCTTTCTGGCCTGACTTTGATCCTGTATCCTCAGATCTTTGCCTCCTGAGCTGTTGGGATTACAGGCGTGAGCCGCCAGGGGCTGGCCCATGCAATTGTTTTAAGTGGAGTCTGGGAAAAATGTTCCATTTGCCAGTTCTGGAGGGTTGGAAGTGTTCTGACTTCGGTATTTCAGACATGAATGTGCTGTGACCTTTGAATCTGGGATGTAGGGCCTGGAAGGACCTGGGGAGACACATGTTAGAATCAGGAGGGAATTCAAGGGCACCACACTGGGCTG